CATGCACTGCCTTCTCACTGTACCTGGACATGTCACTGCCCTCCCAGAAGCTTTCTCTAAGGCAAAGGGCGTGGATGCTGTTCCACTGCCGTGGCAATGCCCATGCTTTGTCAGCCTCTCGCGAGAGCTGCCCAGCTGCTCTGCTTTCTCAGGGTTCCCCTGGCAAAGGAACCTCCTGAAACCCCACTGTACCTTGTGATCTATCGCTGCAGTTCTGGCCAGCACAGTTCTGAAGCAGCTAACCTCAGTGATTAAGACTACACTTCTCTAGACAACACTACCTAGATATACAGGTCAACAGTACTGGATGTGCCAGTAAAAGAAAAACAGTTGTTTTGTGCAAATTTCAGCTGCAGCCCTTCCATAGCAGCTCACCAGAAAACAATATTCTGCAATGACAGTGACACGTAGGGGGCATATATGCGTCACGCTCTGGAATTCTTGACCTAATGTATAGACATTCTGTGCCGCAGATTTTTATGTTATCTTCCATAATCCTGTAACAGCCAACATGCAGATCTAAAAGCCACTTGTATGACTGTGAAATTTCTCTTGTATTACATTTTTAATGTATGTTTGTATTCCATGCAATTTCAGCTTACTGTTGAGCTTATCATCAGAGGTCAGGAAGACATTAACTTCATTTCCATCTTTATGTAAGTTCTCTATCATTTTTTAAGTTTCATCTTTATCATTTTTAAGTGTCTCTTTCCACCAAAGAGGAGGAATATGGCTGAATGAACCATGGAACAAGTGGTATTGAAGCAACATCTGTATCAGAGACATGTTTGGGACAGATACATGGGTTAGTCAGCCTCTGACATGTAAAAATGTAGATTAGGGCAAAGGAATGGATAACAGTAAAGAATATTTAAAAAAAAAAAAAAAAAAAAAAAAAAAAAAAAAAAAAAGGCGCCTTAGGTTGGATTTCTCTGTTTAAAGGGCATGTCAGCCAGCAAATCTTTGTTTTTAGAAAACTGAGCAATTTGATTAGTCCAAAACTTCAATAAAGATGATAAAATCAGCCTGCTTTTATTCCTTGAAACAAAATGCATTTCCCAACCACTCCTGGCTGACACCAACTTGTGCTGACACCAATTTGTGCCAGCTGTGAAAATGGCCAAAGATCACCAGGGGCCAGGTGCAGGATCAGTGTCCCAGCAGTTGATGAACCTCTGTACCCAAGGGCACTGTGGGTCATACAAGATTCTTCTCACCAGCAACAGACAGGGCGAGAAGGCAACACAAAGAAATACTGTGGCTGCAAAGAGGTGCAAATATATCTGAAAAGCCATTATGTGATGTAAGATCTGGACTAGAGTAGCATTCGAGACACCTATTTTCCATGTTTCCATCCAACCTAATCTTTCCTTGCATATGTGCTATCAATATCCATTTTCCCCATTATTATATACTTCTGTTTATCTTGTCCTGCTGCTCACAAAGTTGGACCTTTATGTTGCTTTGGAAGAGTCCAGAACTGTGCATTGGTCTTGCAGTAGCTCGTAAAGCCTTTCTACTTTCCTTGTCTTCATATTTTGCCTTTTGATTTTTCTTCCTCTCTCCCGCTTCGCATTTTTTGCTCTTAATTTCTTTGGCCTAAATATTTCTCTCTCTTCTTCCAGACTGTAGAATCATCAGAGTGAAATGTGTGAATCAAAAAGACTAAAGTAAGTTTAAAACTATGTTAGAGCACAGTTTATTATCTATTCTCATTTTCTTTCTAAGTATGGAGAATTATTCTAATATTTTATTTGAAACTGTCAATAAATGCAGTAGCAAAATTTCTTTAACCAGTGTCATGGAAACACTGAAAGATATAGATGGAAAGGGGTCCCTGGATGTTTCTAGTGCAGCCCAAGAGTACAATAAGGTAAACTCCCAAGATGGATCAGATCACTCAGGCTTTTGCTGCAGTGGTTTATCACTTTCATGGGAAGAATTTTTAGTTTATTTCCAACTAAAATTTTTGCAACATGTGATTGTAGTATATTTTACTCTAAATGACTGATAATTTTACTGGATTTTAATATATATTTTCTGTACAGAAATTGTACATTACAAACGGGCAGATCATCTGAAACAAAACGCTTTTCATGGACATCATTATTATCCAATTCATTCTCTTTTTTCTCAAATACAAACTTGCATTACATTTGGAAAACAAATGCCCTTCAAAGACAGCAGGAAGTTTGCTATGCTAGCAAATTGCTCTTTATGACATTGTACTTCATCTTGAGTTCTACCAACCACTTTAGGTTTTTACAAGAGAATAGGTAGTTGCAAGTCAGAAGCAGCATTCATAAAGCTGAGTTTTCTACTTCATCTCTGGGAGTCTGAAAAGTGGCATAGGAAAGCAAGGATTCTCATAGGGCACATTTCTATTTATACTGATCTTGTTTCCAGTATTACGAAAAATTGAAGTGAAAGTCAACAGTACTCCTGGGGGCAAAATACTTCACAAACAGCTGAATGCCAGCTCTTAAATTACTGAGTATCCCAGAGGAGCCCTTTGAAGGTTGCTGTGTATCTGTTTGCTCTCCAGCTGCTGTCAGGTATCCCTACAGGGGGAAGTGGAAGGCACAGCAATGTGGCCATCCTCATGGTAGAAACCTCTGTGTTAGTTACTAAGGCATAAGCCAGCCCTGTCCTTCCCCACCAGCACACTTCAAGCTTCCAAATGTTCTCACAGTGCAATTTTCAGAGCATCCACTTTACTTCCATTCCTTTTAAAAGTGTAGGTTCCTCAGAGCAGGGATTAGCCTATTTCCATGTTTCAGCACAGCACTTCGGAACACAAATGTTTGTGAAAAGGTAAAATCCACATTACTATTCTTTTTCCAGCAGAGAGTTTAATATATTTGTTTTAGCCCAGCAGCTTATACTCAACTGCCTGGAATTTTGCTGATACAATGAAAATCTTCTGAAAATGCATAAGAATTTAAGCACGTGGAAGTACTCTTCACTACTTTGAGATATTAACAAAAAAAAAAAAAAAAAAAAGAGAAATAGGTTCTCAAAACTGACACACGCTAAGAAATGGCCTGAATTTCACCACAGAACTCTTTCTATGCAGCTAAGATCTCAGAAAGAGTTCAGAACACTGTGTAATGATAAGTACAGAAGGGCTTTATCATGTATATGAAATATTGAATGAGAAAAACTGCATTCACAAATAACAAAAAATATATGTGCCTCTTGTGGAAACTTTGTAACTGCTTCTGAGATATTCACATCCACATTTCTACAGTAGTCAAATGAAAGAGAGCAAAAGAAAAAAAAAAAAAAAAAAAAAAAGCTTATGTTTGATACCAGATAGAAAAAAAAATAGTGAATAATTTTGTAACTAAATAGATACACTTAAAAAAGGAAACAGAAAAGAAAAAAAGGTGGTTTTTTCCTTCTTAGATAGCTTTTAAATTATTGTGGCAAAATGTTTCAGATGCTACAATCAGTGAAATGTCTGTAGGCTAGATTGCTTCTCAGTAAATACAGTTTTGTCAATCTGCTCAGATTGACCCTTATACACTTTGGCTGGAGAATGTTGTCATTTACACAGGTGCAAGTTTCTAGATTTACACAGGTGTAATAGAAGAATTTGGCAGAGTTTTGCTAGTTTTAAGCTTTAAAATATCAGGTCAACTGTCATAGTTTTATCAAGTTTTAATATATTTCTGTGCTGATGACACTGCTTCACAGGTATTGATAGAACAAAGAATTTTGCAGTGTCTAACTAAAGCCTGTAACCTACTAACATCTCTGCCTGTGAATCCAGGACCACTAGACTTAAAATCTCCAGGTGTCTTCTTAAAAAGTGATTCATTTATTGTTTAGTACTCTTTTCATCATAAATACTCATTTCTGAAACAAACAAGCAAACAGCTAAACACAGCCTACTTTCACAACTATTCCTATTACTGTTGTTTAATCTGTATAGCCAGCATCCCATTAGTACAGTACTTTTATACAATAATCAGAATAATATTGTTTTAAGTCAGAAAAGTTGTTGATGAAATTTTTGTACATTGACAGGACAAACGAAAAGCAGATAAGGTATCTTGGAACAATTTTAACATCACTTTACATTTATTAATTTTCAATTTACTCACATCCCTTTGTAGCTTTTCCAAGCTTGTTTGCTATACCTGAAGCAATAGAAATGTGACAGTAGGAATGATTTTAGTTTTGATTCAGATCCTAGATCTTCTTGCCATGCTAATCTGTGTGGCTCAATAAAAGACTGCTAACCAAACATGCAACAAGGGAACTTGCAGATTCTAAGTGTTCTGGAGCTGATCTTCAGCTGTTTGGTCAACTCCAAATTATCTAAGTGATTCAAACAGGAGAAATAAAAGGGAGAGCTTAGCTGGAGTGAGGTGTGTGCACATCAAGTTTCACTTGCTTAAATGAGGCAACACAGATATCAGTCCAACAAACTCACTGCTAAACTCACACCGTAATGAAGGAATCAGACCCAGAACAACTTATTCTCAGATTGTGATGTATCTGTAATTTTTTTTAATTTGTGTTTTTGGCTTTAATTTGCTGTTTTCAAAAAATCAGAATGCAATTTAGAAATGAAGAGGGGAGGCAGAAATCTAAATCTGAGAAGAAGAAGAAGAAAAAAGATACATTTAACAGGTCATTCTCTTCACAGAAATTACAGTGGATTGCTCTTTCTGGATTTAACAGTAGAGGCATGGGAAATTTTCAGATGTCACAAGTTTGCCGATAACACTTGAACATATGATTAGCTTTCGTGAGCTGTCTTTAGAAACCTTATATTTTTTCCCCCTACACCTTGCCCAGAGATCCTACGTGCTTTCCTTCCCCTGAGGTTTTGGAAAACTTAAAATGTTGCTTTGACAAAAATCAAGGATGTGGACAAGTTTTTTTTTCCTGTGTGATGTCACTTTTCCTGCTCTTCATAAGCCCCTGCAAAGAAGGGAACTTATCTGAGGATTCTTGCTCCAGACGCAGACAAACAAGGGAAAGTGAGAAGCAAAAGGAGTATCAAGTTTCAGATACTGAACAGCCACTAAGAGCTGAGAACCATGCCGCACACCAGTCTCTGCAGCTGCCTGGAGTACATGCTGCTTGTGCTCTGTATCCTGAAGGCTGCAGTTGGCTTCCCCAACTCCTCTCCACTGCTGAATCCCAGCTGGCGGAATGGAGATCAGCTGATGCACTTGTACACTTCTACAGAGAGGAACAGCTTCCATCTCCAAATCAATGCTGATGGCCACATCAGTGGTGTTCCTTACCAAACCATTTACAGTAAGTAACTTATTACGGACCCTCTGTCTTCATGGGAGCAGGGGAGGGCTAACTAGAATATTGCTTTCTCACTACCTGTAGAAAATTCCATCTTCTTGGGTGGAAAGCAAAGAGAGGAGCAGAGCTATGGAATCAAAAACACAATTATAACACTCATTTTGTTTAAGAAATAATTTTCTTCAAAGAAATGTAACAGGTGAGGAATATCTTTGTTGAAGATAACTAAAGTTGTGCGGTTCCTGTGATGCTCTGCAAGTAAAAATTACCTGGATTATCCTTCATTTCATGATTTTACTCACAGTTTCTTGTGGAATTTTTTATTAGTAGTTGATAATGACATATCCCAAAGGGCTACTTTCCACTGCAGTGATAGCATTGCGCTGAAAAAAATCACCATAGCAGTTGTGAAAACCTGATTATGGTCATAAAATATTTTGGGGTGGAGATATTCTAACTACTAAAATTAGGTCATTTTCTTCCAAGTGTATCAGTACCACTCTTTATTGAAAATTGGTTTATAAGAGAATCTATAGATATGTGTATTTAATGCAGATGCATGGCAGAAAATCAGTTGTGCATAGAATGTGGGTAATTAAGCATGCAACAGTTGATAAAATGGGGGGAAACTGTGAAAGTCCAGACTGTAATAAGTGAAGTGCTAAGACTTTGGAGTTCATCAGAAGTAATTGTTCCCTTTTGTAACTAGAAGGTTCTATCATAGTTTATTTTCATGGAAAATTCAGGAATTCTTTGCTGGATACCTGCCTGAACATATTAGCTAGTTAAAAAATAAAGAAATAAATAATTGAAATAAAAATAAAAAGGTGTAATTTGTCTTGGTTTTGTTGTAAGCCATTTTTTTAGGACACAGAGTTCTTAGATAGGATTCCAAAATTACTTATCTTTTAGCAGTAGCTATGCACACAAGTAGCTACGCATCATAAAGTCATTTTTATTACTACTGCATAACATGCCCTTCATCCACACAATTATATTTAATAAGCACATCTTGTGATACTTGTGCAAAATAATATAAGGAACAAAAGACAATTTTAGAAGTTTAATTTATCAAAGAGAAAAAATAATCAAGTTCCCCTATTTCTCTTTCAAGGAATTGATGAAACACTTGTAGGATTTTCTGCTCTGTCTTAGTGTTATTTTTCCTGTATATCTATGGGTTTTATAAAATATGTTTTTAGGCATGTTGGGCAATAATCAGGGAGATGCAAAAGAGAAAACAGCCAGTAAAAAATCATGTTTTGCCATATCTGTCATGAAAAAAAATCCACATATATTTGAAATGCTCACAGGAGGGGTTGAAATCAAACAGTTAATGAGTTCATGAAAGAGAGGATGACTGAATTTCTGCCAGGTCACCACACTACCACTGCCACCGAGATTCCAGGTAAATAAAAAGTCCAAAGTGCTGCTCAGGCTGGGAGGAGGCTGGATGTGTACAGCCCTCCTGGGTAGAGACTAAGGGTTACAGGGGACACACTCTGTTTAAGAAGATGGCAAGCCATCCACCATGATCCACAGATCAAGGAAAATTACTTTTCAGCCTTTACTTAGTACCAATAAACCTGGTCTTGGAGTACTATAAAAAACTCTTTGAGATGGATGTGGCGAAATTGGAACTGTTCTAAAAGAGAGTTTTCAGGATAGTCAGTGGCCTTGAACACAAACAATTTTGGAAAAGGTTGAGGGAGCTAAGCTTATTTAACGTAGTAAAATGTAGTTTAAAGTGAATATCATAGGGCAGCCATAAAGATGAGGCAATCAAACTCCCTCTAGTCATGGCCAGGGACAGAACATAGGAAAAACTGTCCCAGAGTGGGCTTGGGTCTTCAATTGGGATGTCAGAAAAAAAAATTGTTTGGAATGTTAGTTCAGCACTGGAACAAGGCATCAAGACATGTAGTGGCATCTCCACTCTAGGAACTTTTCAAGGATCAAACAAAGCCACATCGAAAGTGATCTAGGGTGCAAATAGTCCTAAATGACATAGAAGATGGGTTCAAATCCATCAACGGACATTTCTAGTCAGTGTGTGGACCAGTAAGGCAAGAGTGTGGTGTCAAATGGGATTCTGGATTTGACATATTTGCTTTCTCAAACAGGTGCTCTAATGATCAAGTCTGAGGGTGCTGGCTGTGTTATAATCACAGGCGTGAAGAGTGGACGCTACCTATGCATGGACGTGAAAGGAGACATTTTTGGATCGGTGAGTTACTTTTACAGATAACAGGCACAGGCACAGTCTGCTACATACAACCCATTTCCTCAGCTAGGGCAAATCTGTACAACTACAGCAGTAGGATGTAGATTTTGGCAAGCTGAGAACCTGCCACTTATGTTAAACTTTCTCTCCTCTTTGATTGTTCTGAATTGTAGAGCTGATAAAGAGCACATCTGAGTTCCTTCTGGAATATATGAAAGCAGAAAGAGATCCAATGAGATCTTGAATCTTGCTGTGGTATAGATTCACAGTAGCTCAAACAATGTAGCCCTCTGATGAAAGCAGTGTTGGCTAAGTAACATCTCTGTTGAAAATTCCATATTGGATTAACATGAGTTGTCTGAGTTGCAGACCTGGAAGATCAGAAAACACCTTCTGCAGGATCTCATCTGTCTTTTCTTCTTTAACAGGTGTTTGTCCTTCACCAAATCCCTTTGTTGACATTTGTCTTTTTTTTTTTTTTCTTCTCTAAGCATTATTTCAGCCAAGAGGACTGCGTGTTCAACCAAAGAACACTGGAAAATGGATATGATGTGTATCAATCTCCCAAGCACCACTTTCTGGTTAGCTTAGGCAGAAGTAAGCAAGTTTTCGTCCCTGGTATGAATCCACCACCGTACTCCCAGTTTTTGTCCAGGAGAAACGAAATCCCTTTGTTTCGATTCAACACACCTGAACCCCACAGAAACACTAGGAGTGCAGATGTTGATCCAATGGATCCTCACCAGATCCTGGTCCCACAGAGAAAGGTCTCTGCATTAGAGTCTCAGCTGCAACTGCAAATGGACTTTTCCCATGTGCCCAGAGAACCCATGAGAGTCAATCAGAACGATGTGGTCAACCCAGATGACCCACACGCTATGATGGATGCCAGGAGATATGCTAGTCCTCGCTTTTACATTACAAGATAATGGCAACCACTTGCAAATTGATGACATGAATGAATATAACAGACAGAAGTGCCTAAAACACTCAATCTGATTTCTAACCCTCAGGGTGGGCTGCTAGAAACCCGAAGAACATTGGAAAAAAAAAAATTATTTCAAATTTTGTCCTTATGCATGACGGTTTACTGAAAAAGGATGTTGCACTCTGCTTTACTGAAAAGACAATCCATTTTCAAAATGTATAATAGAAACTAAATATTTTAAGGTCTGAAATACCCTTAGTATGCCTAAGTGAAAAACAGAATTCACTTGAATGTAATGATGAACTAGTGTTATGTTACTGATGTGTCTGGAAGAAGACTTGAGCCCTCTAGGATTAGAAACTCCAGCAGAGGCAGAGACTAGCTCACTTGCAAGCACAGCAGACTAACTGACCAGCAGTGTGTTATATCATCACATAAAACTTGCTATATATATTCTTAAGTGTTGAGATTGGAGCTTCCGTCTCTTTTCGTGCCCATAGGAGTCAGAAAGTGACCACTCTGGTGACCAAAAAAAAAGCAGTGCATAAGGAAAACTGGAGTAGCTGACAGGGATCAAATGGCCTTGTGTAGACAGTAATTTCTGACACCTATCGAATCCAAGCTGAGGTTTGAAAAATGAGTATTTGAGTCTCACCGTTCTCTCAAGTTCTCTGTCACATCTCTCTATTCACTTAATTATAGCAAAACAATATGGAAATGCAATATAGAAACATTCATTAGTTTTGCATGTTTCTAACCCAGAGGGAAGTACCAGGATCAGTATATGCCAAATAGGCTAGTTTATTTTGCCCAGTGCTCTCCAAGAAAAAAAATCCCCTCGGATTATGCCTCATAGGCGAATTACTAACGGTTAATGCAGACTCACATCTAATGAGTAAAAAATTAAGCATGTATTTAGAAAAGGAGCATCTAAGTTTGACATCAAAGTTTTTATCTAATTCTAAGCAGACATCAGATGCTTTATATCTGTAAGAGTGAAATGACTTCAATATTATCAGATTTCTAAATGTTGACAAAATCTAGGCATCTAGATTGACATTTGTCGTGGGTAAGTTAGTTACCAAACTGTAAATTCCATGTATATATTTGAAGTTTACCAATCTTTAAGTAAGATAAGATATTTGCAGAGTTGAGTTTTCCTTCCAATTTAGGTGAAAAATGGTTAAATTTAGTATAGCTTCACTGGTTTTAATGGAGCTACATAGAGGATTCTGAATATTGTATACATATTTAGCACTTCTTCTCCTTTATCTCATCTGCTTGTAGTCATATATTCCTGGAATTTTAAACATATGTGATTCTGAAAAAGTGCTTGATATACTTCAGCAGAAATCAATAGCATTAGAAATCAACAGATAGAGAAAATTCCAGCATGGCAGATATGTGAAAATATCTTTGTGTTTTTTGTGTGTGTGCACTTTCTTCCATTTTATTTAATAGCATATTTAACAGCCTGACACCAGTCTGAAAATGATGTGTTTCATCCAGCTTTTTTCATAGAAGTAGCACACCATAAGATGTCAGGCTAGATTCTAGTCTTTCTCTTCCTACTATTTAGTGAAGTAATTCACTGAAGCCACTGAAGTCAGAATTGTGTTACAATATCAAAAGTAAGGCCCTCTGTTTGTTTTCATGGAAATTGCTGAATATTCACTGCAAAGTCTGTCCTGCTGACAGCATTTTAAATAATCTACACAAACATATATAAATATACACACATAAAATATCTTTTCATCTACAACCTCCAAGTAGTTACTTTAGAATAACCACACTATCTCATTCTGCTGTAATGAAGGTTTTGCCAGATAATGTGGTTCTTAATTCATACAGGATTAGGATTGGATCAAGTGTTATGTCTCACAAATTATTTATTATTATCATGTTTATAATTAGTTTTTAAAGGAAAGACGTTATTCTAATGGATTGGGGAATTGCAGGTCAGGGAGATAGCTATGTGTTTTCTTGCTTATTCAAAATACCACAAGAATTTTTACCTTGTTGCCTGTACAGTGGGAACACATGATTTTATGTTCTATTTAATAATTTTATTTAATTCCTTTACCATTGTTGGCTTTCTCTCCTTGAGAACTTTTTACTGCAGTTACAGAAGCAGAATTTTTTTCTGTGCTCCACAGAGTTCTCTAGGACACAAAGTCAACAGACCTACGGAAGTTTGAATCATGAGAAGTTCTGTCTCAATCCATATTAAGCTTTGATGACAAAAATCTCTAAGGTTAAAACTCTATAATATCTCTATCAGTGCATAAGAAGACAAAAAGTGTTGCTCAGAGATTTAATCCTTGTGTGTTGAATGAATGCACAGTAAATTTTGCATCAAAAACACGTTTCCAACTATAAAGAACTTTATCAAAAGTGTCAGGAGAATTATTTCTTCAATGGAGATGCTGGCCATCACCAGCTAGTTAGAAAGCATTACATTTTAAATATTGCAATATTTATTTATTTATTTGAGTGGGTTTTATGTCCTACAGAATATTTATAAATATTTATAACAATGAATTGTGCTGACTATTATAGTGACTATTAAAATAAAAGAACCAATAAATATTTCTTTCTCTAGAAATGGTCGATTTTATGTTGTTCATTTGGGCCTACTGTTCAAGAAGAACTTGCATGAACAAACAGTACTACTTGTTCCTGAAAATGTCTGTCCTACTATCCTCTGTGATTCTCAGCTTTAAAAATTGAGGGTTCCTGGCTGTTTCATGCACCACAACTGTGAAAACTAGGTGAAATATGATGAGAAAAACAAAGCCTTAGTAGGTATAAACAGATTTGGAAGGGATTGTCATATCTACTGGCATCAACAAAATAGCAACGGAAAACTACTGGTCTAGCAGTTCAGTCTTGCTAGGAAAAGTGATTCTGGCTTCAAGGTCTTAGGATTAGGCAAATTACTGTTGCTGCTATTTATTTTACTGCTGTATTCCAACACTATTCGTATTGCTGTACTCAGGCTTTGTTTTGCAGCAGGCACATCATGGATTAAATAAATTGCAGAACATTTCTTTCCCATGGTGGTCCCCAGGCCTACAAAGACCTAACAGAGATCTTCAAAATGACTAAGTGCTCTTGGGTCTGACAGATTATTTCCTTGCAGTGTTCCCTCACCATGGGTAACCTACGGTGCTCAGTACAGTACAGTCAGTGTTAATGAAAGCCATCGGTAGCATCTTTCGCATCTTCCATGGTTTCATTACCAAGAGAAACATCATGTTACTAAGTACCACTTAGTACTGCTGCATTTGATGGTATGAAGATAATGGACTTCAGTGGGAGAAATCAGGTAGGTGGGGTTCTCTCTCCTCCAAGATCCCCCTCTCCTCCCATTGCTATAATATTAGATCTATGGCCTTTAAAGGAGGAAGAAGCACAACAGAAATATGCAATATGGATTGAAACATATGTGAAACCTCATAGATGTCAAGGCATTATACAAAAATCAGTATTATCACTTAGTTTCCCGCATTTAAAATCTTGGTACTGACTTGGGAACTTTTGAGCACACTCAAGCTGTGCACAGGGAAATAAAAAGAAGCATGCTGCAGAGCAATCATGCAGCATAGAAGAAACAGACTTGGAGATGCCTGGAATGTGTGGATGACAACTTCTTGACACAGGTAGTAGGGGAACAGACTAGGGATGTGTTGTTTGTTAACATAGAAGATCTGACCTTTTCAATGACCTACTTGGATGCATCCCATGCATTAGAGCACTGGAATGTAGGGGAGCTCAAGACAGCTGCTTGACATTCAAGCACCACTTCTTCCAGTCTCAAGATCGGTGCATCCCTAAGAGTAAGAAATCAGGCAAAGCTGGCAGGAGACCCCATATGGATTCACAAGGAGCTCATTAAAAATCTCAAACAGAAGAAAAAAGTTTAGGAAATGCAGAAAAGGGGTCTGACCAATTGGGATGAGTACAGGAATGCTGTCAGCGCATGCAGGGATGCAACAAGGAAAGATAAGGCCCACTTGGAATTAAATCTGGTCAGAGAGGTCAGGGACAACACCAAAGGCTTCTTAAAGTATGTCAGTAATGTCAGTAGCAAAATGAAGACTAGGGAAAATGTGAGTGCATAGCTGAATGAGGCAGGTACCCTACTAACAGGACACTGAGAAAGCAGAGCTAATGAATGCCTTTTTTCTTTTAAGACTGACTTTTGAGAATCCCAGGCCCTGGAGACGAGACAGAAAGTCTGTTGAAAGAAAGACTTCCCCTTGATTGAGGAGGACCTGAACAGACATCATCTAGGTAAACTCAACACAAAAATTCATGGACCCCAACAGGATGCAATCGCGAAGGCTGAAGGAGCTGGCAGAAGTGATTTCTGAACCACCCTCTATCTAATCTATGAAAGATCATGGAGAATGGAAGAGGTGCCTGGGGACTGGAGGAAAGCCAGATAGCCTCACCTCCACTCCCAGTAAAGCAGATGGAGCAGTTTATTCTGAATATCATCTCCAAGTTAGTGAAGAAAAGAAGGTTATCAGTAGCAGCCAGCGTGCATTCAACAAGGGAAAAATCATGCTTTACTAAACTGATATCCTCCTATGATGTCATGACCAGCTAGGTATGTGAGGAGAGAGCGGTGGATGTTGCATACCTGGACTTCAGCAAGGCTTTTGACACTGTTTCCCATAACATCATTGTAGGTAAGCTTAGAAAATGAGGGATAGAACAGATGGATTGAGAGCTGGCTGACTGGTAGAGCTCAGAGGGTTGTGATCAGTAGCACAGAGTCCAGTTGGAGGCCTGTAGCTAGAGGTATGCTCCAGGGATTGATGCTTGGTCCAGCCTTGTTCAACATTTTCATCAATGACCTGGATGAAGTGATAAAGAACACCTTCAGAAAGTTTACTATGATGCAAAGCTGGGGGGGTAGTACCTGATGCAACAGAAGGCTGTGCTGCTGTTCAACAAGACCTGGACAGACTAGAGAGTTGAGTAGAGAGGAACCTGATGAGATTCAACAAGAGCAAGTATAAAGTCTTGCATCTGGGGAGGAATAATGCATCAGTACAGGTTAGGAGCTGACAACTGGAGAGGAATTCTGCAGAGAAGGAGCTGGGTATTCTGGTGAACAATAGGTTGGTCATGAGCCAGCAGTGTGCCCTTGTGGCC